GTTTTTTTTTTAATGTTTATTTATTTATTTATTTTGAGTGAGAGCACAAGCAGGGAGGGGCAGAGAGAGAGGGAGAGCAAGAATCCCAATCAGGTTCTGAGCCCCACGTGGGGCTTGAACTCACGAACGGTGAGATCATGCATGACCTGAGCTGAAACCAAGAGTTAGGTGCTTAACTGACCAAGCCACTAGGCACCCCATATATGTGTTGATTTTTTTAAATGACAGCTCCCTCCCTCACTTATCATTTTTTCTCCAATATTTCATTTACACTGTACAGTTTTTGGTGCACAGCATTTATCCCCGTTTGTTCTGATATCATGACCTGAATTTCCTCTAAAGAACCACCATTCCCTTACTCCCAGTTCATGCACAGGGTGAAGCTTACTCTACCCCCAACTTCTCCTAGATATGGGCAATGGCAGAATTACATCAGCCCTACTAAAGTGGCTGTTTCTGTAGTAGGTTAGTGACCTAAGAAAAACCAATTGTATAAACGACACATTTCCGATCAAAGCTAATCCCAGCATTTTTGCTTCCCACGGACCAGGAAAGAGAGTCTTCCTCTTTTCTCTTTCCTGTTGGGCTTGGAGCTGTGCCAATAGAAATCTGACGCTGTTAGCAGCATCATGCTACTGTATGAGTCCTAACAGAGGCAAGTGCTTACAGAAGAGAGCAACACTGAGAGTTTCCAAGTGAAAGATTAGTCCCTAACAAGTCCTTCAAATTTCAGATTCAAGGTGTCCCTGGAATTGGGCCAACTTCTGGAGTCAAGCCAATCCCTGAAGTTTTAGACATATAAAGAAATTAAAATAGATCTATTCAAGTACTGCAGTAACCACACGAAATCCTCCTATGGCTTCTTCTCTAATTCAGAATAAAAGCCAAAGCTCTTGGGGTGCCTAGATGGCTCAGTCGGTTAAGCATCCGACTTTGGCTCAGGTCATGATCTCACAGTTCATGAGTTCAAGCCCCACATCAAGCTCTGTGCTGACAGCTCAGAGCCTGGAGCCTGCTTCAGATTCCAGGTCTCCCTCTCTCTCTGATGCTCCCCCACTCACACTCTGTCTCTCTTTCCCTCAAAAATAACTGAACATGAAAAGCCAAAGCTCTTACTAAGTCCTACAAGACCCTAAATCACTTGATTCTTTGCTGTTTTTTGGATTTTATAAAATACCCTATACTCATATTTGCTGAGATGTTGCTTTGAGTTCATATTAAATGGCCAGAGAGTGTCTTTGGTAAGAACGTTTGCATACATAAACCTTTTTATATTTATATTCACATAAGCACTCTAAGAGTAGTGCATTTTCATCTGTAAAAAGTTTGTATGAACATTCCAGCCTATTAGAGGAAGATGTTTTGGTTCTAACTTTTAGAGAAGACTGCCGCATTTCGCATCATATCATTTTAAACTTCTCAGTAACCTACAGGTCTGTTTCTATTGATTCGTTTTTCTCCTGGTTATTGTCATTTTTCTGCTTCTTGGCATGTAAAATAACTTTTGATTGGATGCTAGATGCAGTCATTTTTATGTGGTTGAGTGCTCAAACTTTCTTTTTTCGGAGTATTACACTTTATTTCGGGGAGGCAGTTAAACTTGTAGACCAGTCTGATTCTTTTGAGGCATTTTTTTCTCTAATCTAGGTTTTTATTGTAGCAGAACACTATAACTTGTAAGTCCTTATAAGTCCTAAAATTTATAAGGAAAGTAAAGTATGATTTGTGATGTTTTTCCTTTACCTTCTAATTATAATACTAGTTCACTACAGAAAAAAACAGAAAATCTAGGAATGTATGAAACAAAGCTCACCAATAATCCTACCATTAGAGATAAGCATTGTTAACTTGCTAATGTATTTACATATACACATATATGTACGTAAAAATTTAAAAAATAGCTTTGGGTTTATATGGCATTTCTAAGCCTATATTTTAATGTTTTTAAAAGTCTTTAGAGGGAGGCTTTAGAGTCATTATTTTAGGCCAGTTTACATTTATTATTATTATTTTTTTAGTGTTTATTTTTGAGAGACCAAGCATGAGCGGGGGAGGGGCGGAAAGAGAGAGGGAGAGACAGAATCGGAAGCAGGCTCCAGGCTCCGAGCCGTCAGCACAGAGCCCGACGTGGGGCTCAAACTCACGGACCATGAGATCATGACCTGAGCTGAAGTGGGACCCTTACCTGACTGAGCCACCCAAGCGCCCCATAGATTTATTATTAAGGCTTAACTTTTCTGGAGGTCCTTACATTTTAAGTGTTCATAGAAGACTCTACATTCCAAGTTATAGGAACTTGAATGTCTCCCAGTTCTGTGTGAGCTCTGGTAATCACTAAGCTTGCAACTACTACCTACCTGTTATTCTTTGATTGGACTTTTGCAATTTCAACTCATAAATGTCAGCTCAGTATCTGACAACAAATTCAAGGGGATTTTCTTGCATGTTTGGGGAACTCTGATCTTTGCCCAGCTGCCTCCTTTATGGTTCTCCACTCACTAATTCTAGTTCCCTCAGCTCCCTCAACCTCTGAATTCTGCCTTCTTAATATAGCAAGAGCAGCAGGGAACCATCTCCCCGACCATGGTCTAAACAATTTCTTCATGCAGAAAACCAGACCACAATCGTTATATTCACATTTGTTACCTTTTGCTAGATGTTGAAAGCCCTGCATTGACTGCTGTCAAATGTCTGAAAGTAGTTGTTTAGAATTGTTTCAGTTTTCTAATTGTACAGAGTAGTCTGCAGAAGAAGTCAGGTGCCATGATGACAGAAAGAATTGATTTTTTTTTTCCTTCAATTATAAAAGGATCTCTATAAACATAGTTGTTGTATTTTTTTATTTTGTTTTCCAATATTTAAAATTCATTTCAGGGTGTCTAAATTGGTAATATCATTAAATCAATACTTGTCTGATCATCTAAAATCTTCAACCATAGAGCTCAAGTGTAACAATTTTCATATGCTCATTTTCTTAAGCCACCCTATTTAGATTCCTTAAGAACTAACTCATAGAGGTACCTGAGTGGCTCAGTCAGTTGAGCATCCCACTGTTGATTTCAGCTCAGGTCATGCTCTCAGGGTCATGAGATTGAGCCCCATGTCAGGACCCACGCTGAGTATGGAGCCTGCTTGGGATTCTGTCTCTCCTTCTCTATCTGACCCTGCCCTGCTCACGCTCTTTCTCTCCCAAAACAAATAAATAAACACTAAAAAAAAAGGAATGAACTCATGAAAGACACTTGCACTTTTCAGTTGTTATTTTATATTTAAGTTCTGATATTTTCCAATATCTTCATATAGTAATATCTGGACAGTTTTGATCCATGTTCAAAAGTTTTTGTTTTCAACCAACACAAATGGTGGTAACATAATGAGACTAAGCTATACAAACTTCTGGAAAAATATTTAAATTTTTGAATTAATCAAAATGTCCTTGGTTTGATTTTTTAAATAGCTATATGATAAACACAGAAAAGATATATGAAGTCACTTGCTTCTGATTTCGTGGTGGATGGGGGAAAATATGACTCTTAAATTAGAGATATGGTCTAAACAAAGCTGACAGTGTGTTTGGCTTCCTCTGGAATTTCTTCAAGGTCAACACTTTGTTTTTTACTGTCTGATATTTGGTGGGATTGCTACAGTTCATGTGATTCCCAGGAACTTAACTAATTTTGATTAACCTGTAGGGCTAAAATTTAGACATTTTTTTTTTCATGTCCAGTAAGTATGGACATCAGGCAGAGAAAGTTCTGAAAGTCCCTGTGGTTGCCCCCTGATCACCTACAGATGTGGATGTTCCCATTTTCTTTGTGAATGTTAGCAAAGTGTGGTATTTTCCCACAGAGAAAAGGTCAAACATCTTGTTCCAATTCTTCTCAGTTACCACATAC